TTAATAATCGAAGTAGAATTATTGTATTAAACTTTTCTCGTTTCCCAAGCTAACTTAGGAGCTACTCGAGGGCACCATTACGTAATGAACATTTCGTTGATGGAAATAATCTTCCCGGTATTCGTTTGCTACTCCTTCGATCTCGTTGACAGAGAAATTTTTCTCACGCGAGCTAATCGTGACAGCGTGATGGACACGACGCGGTTGCTCGCAAACAGCTTACACGCTCCTCGAACTGAACAGAGAAATGTTCTCCTCCGAGACACTCGTACGAGTTTTAAATTACCCGATTGTTTTTCTCGCGCCAGTGACAACGAACATAATCGCATCACCTAAACACAGTCCACGAATCTATCGGAATACACGAGTCAGTCTAGTCACTGACATGTTTCCTCTGGGAAACAACCTGGTTAACAATTGCCTCTGGTAAAAATATTATACTTACTAGCACGACAAGTATGATAACTGATCGTCAAGACACGAATGGAGCACTGTTGCCTTTCTTAACACTCCGACTCGAATCCAAACAAACTATTCGTATTCACGAGGACCCGGTATAATCGTTCACTCATACGAAAAAATACTTTACAGAAGTTTCTCACCTAACATCTAAAGCCTCTTAACAGTCGCACTTGTGCGAGGCATCAAAACAATTCGTCGCACGTGTTACTCATTCGTAAAGAAACTGGACGTCCGTGGGAACGAGTTCTTTGATCCCGTTGAACCCTCGGAATTATTCAGAGCCTATTTCACACTCTGACAAAGGGAAGCGTCTTTGATGCGTTTCGAAAAATGGTACAACACAGGATTTCCGGGATCGAGGCGATCCGATGCCCGCGAGAACTGAACGCGTTGTGAGCGTGCGGCGACGGTCTCGGGAATTTGAAAGAGCCCATCGTTAGGCGGTCCTCACAACAATGTAAGCGCCCGCGTCTTCGCACCTGCGTCTTCCGCACACTCAGCTGCTGTACAGCGACACGATTCAACCCCGTTGCTCTTAAATCCACACGACCTTTCAACTACAAAATAAAAAAATCAATTGTTGCAAATTAGATTTACTTTAGATTATTAAATAGAATCATTAGAACCCAGAGAATCGCACTTGATATTATCGTAATTTAAACGAACGGATAAATAGATAATTATCTTTGACGGAAATAGAATTTCGTTTAATTGCAAGAGCAAATTGAATCTCGAGGATTCGATTAAGAAGACGCGAGGGACGCTTCGTCGATGCACCCTCCTGGGAGGCGATAGGAATTTTTTTGCGAGGCGAATGGGTGCTCAGGAATTTTCGGAACGATTTAATTAATTCCGTAATTTAGAAGCGTACAAGCGTGGAATACGAATGTGTCACTGTTTCGATATTGATCGGAAATGATCGCTCATCATTTATTAATCATAATAAAATATAATTAATTAGTATTTTATTTTTATTAACGAAGAAGCTTGACTTTACCTGTTGCGCGGAGCAGTCGTCTACCGTGGCCTTGTTTCTAGCCTGACGTCGCGGCTCATCGAATATGTAAGTGATCGTCCTTTTTTTCTAGCAAACAAGACGATCGCATCGATTTTCCTTCTTCCAACGGAGATCGCTGACAGAGGTGCTCCACTTCCGCCGACAACGGGGTTTTAATCCGTAGCAGGGGATGCGCGTCACCTGTTGCATTCGATGCATCAAGACGGGTCACTGAGCAGGTGAAAAAATCCACTCGGAAACCGAGAACAAACGAGATATCGCAACTTATATTCCAGAGCCATAGACCAAATTTTATTTAAACCATTTTATATATACCATTTTATTTCATATAAACCGAGAACAAACGAGATATCGCAACTTATATTCCAGAGCCATAGACCAAATTTTATTTCAAGCTTAACCTTTTCACTACTAATTTGATTTCTTTATGGAATATCCTTAATTTTACTGGTTCTAAGCTTTCAAGATTTACTATAAAAATGGGTTATATTTTTTCAAATAAATGTTCTTAGTAATTCATGGGGTACCAGTAGTACTGAAAGGGTTAAGTAATTTGTTCACTAAAAACTGCGATACGTTTGGAGATTTTATCTCAAGTATCGAGAGAACACATAGTTCATGTTTGTATAATAAAATCTTATTAAATTATCTAGAATGTAATAAAAATGTATCATCCTTTTTAGGACAGTCTCCTCGGTCCATTAACCCCGATTGAATTTCGCCTGTTTAATTTAAGTTACTGCCCTTCTTCTGCTCTAAAAAATCCGAGGCGGCGAGATATTTCCCCGGTTAAACGACTGCACAGCTTCAGCTGTTTCGCCGATCAATCATCCACTTTTAATTACTTTCAAGGCATGCACGTTCAGAACAGTTTAATAAAACTTAGAAAAGAACGCGGAAGAAAGGTCGTACACGCGCTTCCAAAAGTTCGTCTAGATGAAATTTCATATGAGATTGCATGCATAATACGAGCATAATCAATTTGACGTATTGCAGTGTGAATCATAGTGGCAGTGGCAAACCAGACTCTGTTGCAATTGAATTCCTCGGTTGTACGAATAATTGCTGCCATCAGAGAACTGTTCAACTATAATTCTCTAGCCCTAATCCATTCTCCAACTCGAATTGTATCGTATACTTCCTCTGAACACTGCGATTACATCGTTCAATCGATGAAGCGATTAATCCAATGTGCATCGTAAGGAACTATGAAAAATGAAGATCTTCATACAGAATAATACAATTTTCGAAACATCTCCTTAATTAATGACTTTTCGATTTTAACCAGTTAAGTGTGTTTGACGACTATATCCGTCATGGAAGAATGGCAGAATTTTGTGTTATGACTGCTATATCCGTGAATAAATTCATTCATTTTCTAAAATAATGTCGTCTTTTTGACCCAATATTTCAACAACGCCACGTACTCTGTGTTTGACGACTATATCCGTCATCGCTTGATTATCGCGAGACACACTAGAGCGCACTTTGCAAAATGATCGACACAGTTAACTGGTTAATAAATTAATATCGTTTTGTAAAGCTTCATCGATCGGTGCGATTCCACTAAAAAAATGTTGATGACCTCCATATCTCTACTACGCGTTCACCTACAAAGTAGCTTACAACATCAGAATGCAGCTAGCATTTAACGAGGTAACTATTTAATAATAATGAGGAAAATCGAAATGGAACACTCTGTATAACTAATTTGCATATTAGGCGTTAAGGAAAATCCCCTACAAAGAGTGTGAAATTCTAATTAGTATTCTTTCAATCGATGGCTTTCGAACTCTGTGTATTCGGTGATGATCAGGAAAACTATGCATATATTTATGCTAATGATGCAAATGGGTTAATTAATACAATCATCAATTACGTGAAATTGATTCACTTCCTTCCTCTTATAGTTCTTGCAATCCAAACGCCACCTGTTTCAACGGTGTGCAGATATTTTTGTTATCCCCCACTAAACGCGGTTCGTTTAGAATTCCTGAATACAAATCGTTGTTTTGTCAGGTAGTTGGTAACATCTGGCCGCGGGGATGCGATGATGCGAAATGAAACCGCGGCTCGTTTGCCGACGCGTCGATACAGAAACGTGCGAACATCCTCCTATCGAAAATGAGTTACAGACTGCACCGCCTACCTTTTTTTTTTAGTTGCAACAAATCTAGTAGGAAGAATAAAAATAAAAATATTCGAGAATATGTATTAACACATTATTTTCTCATTTGACGGTGAGACATAGAAGATGATGAATTTTCGTTCCCTTCGAGCGTCTGAATACGTCGGGATAATTGATCGAAGGAAGGTGATATTAATTACCCTTTCACAGGGCTCGTTAGTACAATCTAACCGTCATTGTCCTATCCTGCACGTCGCGGCTCGGAGCGTTGGTCGACAGGCACGAAAAACATCGACAATCGCCTCGAATTTGAATATGCATGCGAGAGTAAATCACGCGCGTGCACGTGTCGGTGACCGCTTCAACGGGACAAAAGGAGCACCGTCGCCGGACAGTTCGGTAAACGAATTTTAATCGAACCAACGAAACCGATTAAACGGCACTGCGTCGGAAACTCCGTTCGCCCTTTCGTCGGCCCTGGATGCCACGACTCGGTCACGAGTCCGCGTTGAATAATTAATTAATGCCGAAAATGTCGACGTCGCGTTATGAAAACGCACCGGGTTACAGTCGCTGGATTTTCAATTACGTCGGAACACTTGGAAGAGAGGGTTGATAATTGAGTGCGTCGTGATAAACAGTCGTTTGTTCATCTACGTGATGTTCGTAACAAACGTCTACACCCTCGTTCAATTGGTTCACAGCTCTGCTTCCATTTATTTATTTATTTTAATTAGTAATCGAGTCGGCGTTGCGTTGGTGTCCACTCTGCCATTCAAGGCTCCCGGGAACAGTTTATTTCCATTTTTGTTGATTTGATAAACGACTGTGCTTCCAATGGCAATTTTAGATTACATTCATGTATTATTTTCATTACTAGTTATATGATTGGCGATCCGTTGCAACAGACTTGATTGACGACCCGGAAGAGCATCATAAAAACGAAACGACAAGTTTACGACAGTTTTCATAATTTCCTGGAATATCCGGGAATGTTTCAGGTGTACGAACGTTCATCCTCCAGGCGACGATGTAATTTACACGTAGACAAACAATTTTTGCGACGCGCTGCAAGCGTGCACGAGTTCTGATTTTAGACACGCAGGCAAGCCGCCAAGCAGCTCGTCACGAGTCTGCAGTTTCGATCGCGTGAAAGCTCGCGGAATCGATTGCGTTTTACAAGCGTGTATAGATAATATGCATGGTTCTATATTTATTTGCTGCGATCGCGATAGCCGGAAGTGTAATCCAACGAGGCTGGGATTTATCGTTCTTGTTCTCCTTGAAAACGAAAATTTGCATACTTCTTGTCACGGGACTGTCTGTATTTCTTTTTGCAACGCATTTCGAAATTTGAAAGATATTTTAACGTGTATGTATTTCTCTTTATGATTCGCTGTGCTCACAGCGTCTCTCATTCCGTCCGAAAGTGTTGGAATTTTGGACGACCAGTGAGGACAGAGAAACTAGATATTGGATTGCCTGGAAATTTCATGTCGATTTAGGTTTAGTTTAAAAATAGCGATCCTCCAGGGAGGGACTGGACAACCAAGTGATTATTTCTGACTAACTGCGAAAAAATGCGCCAAAACCGAAAATAAGGATAAAGCGAAAATGTAAATATGCAACTATTTTACATCAGGATTCGATCATTATAGGAAACTCGCGAAATAAATATTTATAAAAAAGTATTGTCGCAATTTTTCATTATTATCGAGATTTTATTGCTAAGAGAACATTTTAAATGTTAATTTTAATTGCACTGACATATCGACAGTGAACATAGTTAATATTCATCTACTGATTTTGACAATTCGCGTTCTGAATATGCAACTTCCGGTTTAGGCACATTTTTATGTAGGTGTCTACTGTTGAAACCAAAATTTAATTGCACTGCCTCTAAATTTCCTATAAAAATCAGCACAAACATTTCGACAACCCAATAGTTTCTGTGAAACTGGTATGGAAAGCTGATGGAAATTGCAGTGTCAAACTCTGAAGCTCGACTTTTTCAAACTTTCGACAGTCCTCGTTGCGTCCCGACAGGTTCGCAGAATAGTTGGACAGAATTTTTCAAACAGAGAATTCTGATAGTTTAGAAACACATAAGATAAACTTTCCGATTTCTGTTACAATTCCTACTCGCTGGCTTATTTTTCTATGATTCCCAAATGTCATCTGGGTGAGTAGAAATTGACGAGAACAGAAATTGGGACGTTTACCTTATGCTTAATTCACTTAAATTTTTGTATATCACAGGAACTTAAAATTCATCCCCCTTTCTATATTGAAATGTTCATTGCTTCTAATATTAAAATTTGTTTATGTATTTGTAATTTCTCAAAAGGTAAAATAAAATATTTAAGATATTAAATTGAAACTTCATTGATTTTAAAGTAGAAAATTTATTGATGTTTTGTATACATTTGTGTGCAGCTAAATGAATCTCAAACAGGGTTTCAAATACTACTAAAAAATAATTTAAAAAAAGATAATTTTTTTTATAAAAAATCATAATTGATTTCTCAAACATCGCTGATGTTCATGTTAACGAAACATTATCTGTAGATAAGATACAATAAGTGAACTGTCATCCTGTGAAACATTCATGACATTGTAGAAAAATGTGATCGAAGATAATTTGCAAGGAATCAGAAAAAATGCAACGCAATCTGGATGGTAGATAAAAGGCCTTATGCGATAATCATCCGTCGTTCGGACGTAGCGGCTTCATCGATTCTGCCCGTTTCGAAGCTTGATAAGCAGGCTCTGTTATTATTAAACAGAAACTTCTGGAAGTTGGTTAACCGGCTGTTCGAATTTCACGAAAGCCTGGTTAGGCAAACAAGGTGCCAGACCTCGAAACAGTGCGCGTTCAAGATGTACTCGGCAACTATTACGCCACCACCTGATTAGAGACTAAGTTTAACGAGTTACATTAATTGTGCCTCTCGAGTTCTATTCGTAATTCCTTGACAGTCTAACAAGTAAACACATTTTACTTCGCACTCGTAACGTAAATTGCATATAAGGCTTCCTAGAAATTAAGCAATAAAGAAATTCTGTATAACATCTCAAGACAGAAAAGAGTAGGAGTTACAGAAATAATATTTAAGATTGCAAGACATAAGAAACCATTTTTTCTAAAAGCTTATCACTAATCAATTGTGCTGTTTAATTAAATTAAATGCGCAAAATCTGTAGTACGTCAATTCCACGTAAAGCAAATTGTTTCTTTTAATTAATAATGTAAGAAGGGAGTCTTGTTCATTCCACTTCGTTGAGGCTTCCAAAAAAAGAGAAGCACCCTCGTAGGCTGGAAGCTATTATCCTTTATCGGAAAATAATTTATAGACGTTCAATCGACTTCCTTGTAATCTCGCTAATTTTTCCATCCCCAGTCTGTCCTATAATTTCATCGTTGTCCAACGGGCTCGTGACGTGCGTACGTTTCGTCTTCCTGTACGGTCATGTGACGTCACGATACGCCCCTTTCGCATTCTATCACTTATCTCCTCACCCCCTATTATCGTCTTCCTGATGAAACCTCCTTATGTGAAACATCAATGGTTATTCGATTCGGCAAAGAAGTCTGACTTAAGGTTGTACAAGCCGTAAGGTCTTTCGATTTATTTTCGTTTAATTCGTTGGATCCTTGACACTATTTTTATTAATGAAAACTTTGTCGTAGAGTTTAGAAGACTAGGTGTATGATTAATCGCGTACATACATTATGTTCGAACATTATCAGTGCCGAATCTTTTCCAATATTCGTGAACCATACGCCAGCAGATTGCGTAACTGATTATCATCGACCTCGTTTGGGACACCAGGCCTTGGCTCGTAGAACAGATAGAATTTTACATGCCTCGTCCCATTACCGATCTTTAATGAAATCACATTATTTTCATATATTTATTATGTTTTTTAGCGAAACAATTCCTTTAGCACTAAAACGATTTTACATAAAAACAGGTTTTCGTTGTTGGATTCTATTCTTTATTAATTAATTTAAAATGAATTAGTTTTATGAGACACGAGTCGAGTTTTGGAATCGTGTACTATTCTTTTTCTTGTCTCTGCGACGCAATTGATCCAGTCTCGATATCTGCGGTGGCTTCATTTTCGGTCTGCGTTTGTCTAACGAATCAATTTGCTCAATGGCAGATCAATTGACAGATTATGAGACCCCCCATAACGACCGCGCAATCGATGATGCGGAAGAATAAATAGCAAACAGCATAGAACTTGAATTAGAAACATTCCACAGTTCGCAAGGTTTCAATTGTTTATTGCAATTTATATTAATATAAATTGACTCGATTTGAAATTAAGTGAAATCGATTTAAATTTTGTCAAAATTAATCTGAAATTCGCTTTCTCGAATTATTTCCGGTGTAGACGAAGAGCATAGATTCCTGTGTCCTTCCGTTAACGTTTTCGAGGACACGGGAGGTATTGATAGATATCATAAGGACGCGGAAGAGAATTAAAGTTCAGCCGATCCTCGTCATCATCAATGATCCTCATCGCTTCAATCAACGTGAGCGAGTCCAATTGCGAGAGGACAATTATAGCGTCTCAATTCGTTTCGTCGATTGTCCTTTCGACGAAACGTGATGAAACGATCTTCAGGAAGTCATCTGCTTCGGAGTTCAATTTTATTTATAAAAAAATTGACAAGTCTCATGTACATGTAACGAGTAAAAAATCTAGTGTATATGAATATGTATTCTTGTAATGAAGTCTCGGGTTTTACGAGTTCGCATCACCAACGTTTCGCGCATACATTTGTTCTTCTGAAATAACTTTTTACACATTGCGACGCGTGTTGGCGTCCAACCAGTTCTCCAATTTGTCACTGTTCCTGGCCAACCATTTTATATTGTTTTCCACGGTCTCCAACGCCTTGGCGCGGTTCATGGCACCGGCGCCAGCCTCGGGGTACTTGGCGAAGAACGCCTTCATCTCGTTCAATTTTGTCTCGGTAGCGAAAGTCTTGGTGATAGACGGGATCAACGAGCCCAGGTAACGATCGTTCAGTGTGTACCTGTTGACGAGGAACTCCCAGTTGGAACGCACCCAGTCCCATACCAATGGCGTACCCACGGGGTTAGACGAGATCGCGGTTAAACAGCTGAAGAAATCCTGGGCGCGGACGTAGTTGTCGTCCGAGGCCGTCGTGATGAATCTGAATAAAAAAGTGCGAAACAAAATGTATAATAAATAAATAAATGAATTGCAACTTCATCGATAACGTGAATAATTAATTGTTGAACCATACTTGTTCAGAATCCAACTGGATCGTATGCCAGCCAAGCCTTTCATCAATTTTAATTTTTCTGTCGCGTCAGTCTCGGCTATGAATTTGTCGAATACCACGTTCCACATGGCCTCGTCACCGATATGATGCATCCCTGAAATTAACAAAGCATACAATTTATTAGTAATGATTAAAAAATAAGTTTGTTTAAAAATTAGTAAAAAATTAGTTATAAAATAAATAATGATTAAAAATTAAGTATATACTGTTCAAAAAAGTTATGATACTACAATCTGTTGCTGAGTAACCATCTTCTAAACTCGAGCTTTTCTCGGCACAAATTTCGTGATGCCATAATCTTTTTAATAATATGTAAAACATAATAGGAAGATAATAACCGTAATAATAAACAAAACTGCGAATGTCAGGGTGCGGCCGAATGTCATTAGGATCTCGGATCCAGCTTTTAAATATTCTCCCTGCCTCTGCCAAGCATTCCTCGTGCTCCATGCTGCAGGCCAGGCTCAGAATCGTTGTACGAAGTTTCCTAAATCCGAGTAAAATATAAAACTAATATTGAATAATTCTTTGAATAAATAAAATTGTTACTCACAGGAAAACGCGGTCGTCGCTATCACTCACAGTCCATCCTACTTCGTGGTACACACAGTCTACCAAGTGTTTCACATATGTCTACAGAATATTAGAAAAAGGTCTTAAAAACGTTCTTTAATTCTTTTGTAACAGAAATTAAGAAGTTTTTTAATTAATTTATAATAGAAAATCGATTACTTTAAATTTTGACGAGAAATTAGTGGAGGATAGCAGAGTGTCGATGTCAGTCAATTTGGAAGAAGCTACGCTCCATGGCAAAGCATGCTTCTCAAGAGGAAGGTACACTGTCATGTTCATCGCTATGCCATAATCCAGCTCTCCAGCACTTGCTAAACTGAATGCATCTTCCAGAAGATGCAGTCTATTCGCTACGGACAGTGTCTACATACAAAATATGCATAGAATCAATTTAAATACTAACTCGATAGAGAAAAAATTTTGTATAATTTTACCTTATGCTGATTTCGGAGAAGATTATCAAGAGTCTTCCATTCGGCTGGCTCGTAATTAACACGATAGTACCCCACCTCGTCCGCGTTGAATTTAATCCAGTCAACAGATTCCTTCAATTCGATCACCACTACAGTTTTTACATTTATTAATTAAAATCTGATATAAATAAAATTATAGTTTAAACTATTGCAAGAAAAAAAATACTTACACTCTTTGGCATTATTGTCGAACCATACCAGCGTAGGCTTGGACATTTTGTTTGTGATGTAAGTAATGGGAATGATCCATTTGTACCTTGAAATTGAAACGAGGTAATTATAAATAAATAGAGAATAAATTAATAAACAATTTATCGAATTGTTCAGTTACCCGTATTCGGATTCGGAGGGATCGAAATTGGCGTCGGGATCCGCCAGGAATCGTTTCTGCGTTAAAATATATTTGTTGTCAGTCTTCTTCACGTTCACCACGGGGAATCCTTTTTGCCTGGTCCACGTGTCCATAATACTTGTCACGTTCAATTCTGGCGAAGCGTCCTGCAATATTCTGAATAGATCGGACGTTTCCGCGTTGTGGTACATGAATTTCTTCAAGTAAGTAGTGATAGCACCGTAGAAGGGCTCAGGACCGATGAAATTCTCCATCATTCGGATAACCGACGAACCCTGAGAAACGAAGCAACGACGAGATCTAATAAAATATACACTACTCCATGATTATGGCATCGCAAGTGTTGAAAATTATCCATCGAGTAGTCATTCTAATATCGAAAGAGGAAATCGTAGAGACTCAATTCTGTTTTTAAATTAAAATTAAAGGATCAAGCTTTTAATTACCATAAATGACGTCACTGAAAAAAAAATATCATTTCAGTCCGTACATGTTGTTCAACTTTGCTAATTTTTAATAAAACGAGAGATTATTTTTGTATTAAATTACCTTTTTATACGATATCTCATCGAATATCGCAGTTATCTCGTCAGGATTACTGACGGTCTGGACGATTGGATGGGAGCTAAGTTTGGCGTCGGTCACGAAAACGGAGTGCATTTGTTCAATTAAAAATAGATCCATCTATAAAAGGTAAACTGTAATGATTTTATGATTCGATCGTAAAGTGACGATCTTTTAAATTTAAGTAAAATTGAAAACTAACCAGGCCCCAGTCAGGTAGCACTCCGTCGGCGCTCTTGTACTGCATAAAAGAGGCGAACCCTTCGTTCAGCCATAAATCGTTCCACCAGGCCAAAGTGACTAAAGAAACACGTGTCGAAAAACAAATTGAATAGCTTTGTACAGCAGGTAGTTAATATTTATGGTCGTGTACGGTAGTCGGTAATAATAGCAATTGTAAGGCACTGAGGTTGCGGCCTTCAACAAGTGGATCGTATAATGACCACTTGAGAAAAGAAACTGAAGTGTTTTGACTCTCATTGTCGGAAACGACAATGATGAAAAGGAAGTTTCACCGTTGGAGATGGAAAGTACAATAAACAGGCGTTGTTTTATTGGCGTTTCTATTTCCTTTCAAGTCTAGTCGACGGAAATAAATAGCAACTCTCAGACTTGCTGTCCTTCATACTTTTAACAAAAGAAGTCGTGACTACTGTGAACCCAGTCACGTACCAATGTATTTTTTAGTTTCTCCAATCCTTCCTTCGGCTATATTACACTTACCTAAGTTTCCGAACCACATGTGGGCAAACTCGTGGCTGACGACAGTCAGAACATCGTAAGCTTGCGTAGTCGAGCTGGTTTTCTTGTCGTACAACAACCTCGCCTCTCTGTACGTAATAAGGCCCCAATTTTCCATCGCGCCCGATACAAAATCTGGTATCGCTGCCATGTCTGCAAAATATTAGATACAAACTTGCTGATCTTCTTAAACAATTTATTATCTGATAGGACATTGGAATTTACCGAGCTTTGGTAAAGGATAATCGATTCTGAAGAGGTTTATGTAATACTCGAGGATCTTCACGCCCATTTCAAGTGCGAACATGCCCTTCTGGTGTTGGGATCTCGTCGCGTATACGGAAACAGGAAATTTACGACCATTGAGACCGTTGGCGGTTTTTGTCAAAGCGATAAAGTCGCTGACTATGAAGCAGGCTAAATACGACGACATCGGGACGCTCTTCGCGAATGTCACCGTCGTCAATCCTTGTGATGGCTTATTCATTTCTATATGCTTAAGAAACGTAGTGAATGAGTACTTAGCAAATTCGAATATGAACACGCTTAAAAGTGATTCGTACCTCGACGTTCATGTTAGACAAAGCGTTGTAGGAATCACTGTTCGGGTGCACTAGCTTCACCGTGTATTCGGCTTTAAACGCCGGCTCGTCGAAACAGGGAAATCCTCTTCTGGCGTACGTCGGCTCGAATTTTGACGTCGCGATAACTCTGCAAATAGAAATTAATACCATTGGAGGAATTAAAGGATACTTAAGGTTGCATGACCCAGTGACCCAATACTTGAAGCGATTAATATTTACGAGCAGTTTTAAATCACAAGAAATTATCGTATAATTAGTAATAATCTAATTTTTTTA